ATTTTTAGTAATGGAGCCTAATATAGCATCATTACTCAAAAGTATGTTTGGGGCTCTGTATTGAAGATCTAATGCTGCAGTGTTGCATTAAGACACTGAAAACAATTTGTTTTCAGATGAGTTATATTACGGTAGGATACATTTGTTTCTTTAAAAATTCTAACAATTCATCTAACTACCAAAAACTCAGTTATACATGTGAAATATATAAATATTGTCAAACTCATAAATATTTTAAAAGCACAACCACTTATGAACAATCCACTTTTCTTAATATATATTGAGACATTTACTAGGGAGTAGAAAATATATGAATGGTCCATTGACAGTCACTTTGGTGGTGTCCCCCTTTGACCCTCACAGCACCTTCTTCCCCAGCAACCAGGGAGGGTGTCCAAGTCCCACTGAGGACAGGGTACGAGCACATACTTTACACAGGCTGGAAATTCCAAGTGTAACCCTGTTTTGGTCACTACAAGCTTGAAGACTCAGGCAAATTCCTATCTGTGGGCCGGGCGCAGTGGCTCACGCCTGTAATCCTAGCACTCTGGGAGGCCGAGGCGGGCGGATTGTTTGAGCTCAGGAGTTCGAGACCAGCCTGAGCAAGAGCGAGACCCCGTCTCTACCAAAAATAGAAAGAAATTAATCGGACAGCTAAAAAAATATATATATAAAAAAAAAAATTAGCCAGGCATAGTGGTGCATGCCTGTAGTCCCAGCTACTCGGGAGGCTGAGGCAGGAGGATCGCTTGAGCCCAGGAGTCTGAGGTTGCTGTGAGCTAGGCTGACGCCACGGCACTCATTCTAGCCAGGGCAACAGAGTGAGACTCTGTCTCAAAAAAAAAAAAAAAAAAATTCCTATCTGTGGAACTCAGTTATCCACCTGCCAGCCAAAGAGAGTGGCAAGTCACGTCAGCCCTACACATTGCTACACTTCACTGCCCTCCGTCAGCAGCTCCCCAAGCCCTGAAACTTCCCATTCCGCCCAGTTTTATCAGTCTGAATTTACTCTCATAATTATAGCAGCTGCATCTGCAACTTGTTTCTAGTACGCACTGCAATAGCTTACTTCTTCTGGCCCCTAGGGTTTAGGGATGTCTATGTTATTAATAGCAACTTCACAGCAGAAAGGAAGAGACAGCAAAAGCTTTTCTCTGAACCATGATTTGACTCCCCAACGTGCCTCATTTTGCTGCTTTCTCACATCTGTTGACTTTTGGGTTTCGGACCTACTCAAATTTGGAATGCTGTGAAAGATGAACTCCTTCTGTATTCCACCAGATTTTAACTCTGGGTTTCAATTGACTCTTGGACCATCTGTTCCTGAATCCAGTTTAACATGATACACACCCTGTGCCTCTCATGCTTGGTGACCTGATAACCTAAGTGACACTACCACAGAGGCTGGAACAAAGTAGAGGCTCAAAAATATTTAATATTTATGGAATGAATGTTTTAACACTTCTAGGTAATATTTGAACTTAAAAAATCCCATCTGAAGATAAAAATCTTAATCGGTTACTCTAAAATTAAAAGACAGATGAAGTGGATGACTTGGGGCATTCCATGGGTCACATCATGTGATCATCACTGAAAGACATGAATGAAAAAAGGGGGCAAAATAAACAAACTATCCTGAGAAATATAATAGCAATTCTTTTTTTTGAGACAGAGTCTCACTGTGTTGCCCGGCTAGAGTGCCGTGGCGTCATCCTAGAGCTCACAGCAACCTCAAACTCCTGGGCTCAAGCGATCCTCTTGCCTCAGCCTCCCGAGTAGCTGGGACTACAGGCATGCGCCACCATGCCCGGCCAATTTTTTCCATATATTTTAGTTGTCCGATTAATTTCTTTCTAATTTTAGTAGAGATAGGGTCTCGCTCTTGCTCAGGCTGGTTTTGAACTCCTGAGCTCAAACAATCCACCCGTCTCGGCCTCCCAGAGAGCTAGGATTATAGGCGTGAGCCACTGTGCCCGGCCAATAGCAATTCTTAATGTTCACATTCTTAGAAGTCACCAAGGTACTGAAAATATAACTGAGGAATCACAATATAATGAAATCATAAATTATAAATATATGATAGCTCTTGCTGTAAGAATAAGAGGAAGGGATGTAAGACATTGAGACTTTTTAGTATATCTTTGCTTTAGAGGTAAACAATCTCATAGTTTGTGAACTCAAAAGCATCTGCCAAGCTCTTGATGATGCAAAACTGTAGATCATCTTAAAGGATCACCCTTGGGTAAACCTCCACATGAACCTTCCCTCTGTAAGTCCACAGTAGTGGGCTGAAATCAACACATTGACTCAGGGTATCCTAAAATGGGAAAGCACAATGAAAAGGGATACGGAGGCAACCACAGGATCAGACTGAGCACAGTGAAAACCAGGGATCTGAAAACCGAGGGTCACTGTGGGTCTGGGTCAGGGAGTGGAGCAGAAGTCCAGGTGATCAGATCTCATGGATCAGAATACCAGACAAGGAAACAGACAATAAAGAACAGGTAGCTAAGCACACATTCAGCACAGGTGACAACTACAGCAGTAGGGAGACAGCCCAACTTTACCAAAGACTCCCTGGGATAAGGGCTTTAAAAGAACTCCCTGCCAACAGCAAGGCTTAGGTTAATACATACAATTCGACAACAAAATCTCACTTGGTACTTTCATTCTAATTGGGAAGCAAGCACAGAACATTAGACCACAGTTCTCAAACTCTGTTATTATTTAATGATATGCAATATAATTGCCAAGACTTAAAGGTACAACTACTGTGTATACCCTCATTAGGCTATAATTTACTCCAAATTAGCATTCCTAAATCTTTAATATGTCCACTTTGGGTTCTGTTTGTGTGTTTTTCTGATTCCATTACCTGAATTGCTGGTCTAGCTTTTCAGCCACAAAATCCTGTCTCTTTGTCTTTCTTCTCTTTTAATAATCTAGTTTTCTCTCTCATTCTATCTTTTTTCTCTTCAATGGTTTCTTCTTTCAATTGCATTTCAGTAAAATATGCATTCTCTTCTAATGCTAAAAGTTCACGTAGCCTGAAAGAAAAAGACCAAAAAAAAAAAAAAATTCAAATTCTCATGCTGCATGCACCATTTTATTGATTTTTATTTGTTATATTTGATTTCAGACTTACACATCTAATAAATTTTGTAAGCAGGAAAAGATCATGGCAGTCCTCTATAAAATAAGACTAGTTGCCGCTTAAATCAATAAAGAGACTAATCTGCACCATATTTTATTTGATCACATGCAAATGTACACATATGAAATGTACACTTTCAACAAAGGAAGTAAAACAGATTTTAGTTAAAGTAATGAAATATGAAACGATATATTCATTTGTTTTCCATCTCTAAACATAGGTTATCATCAGCAAAAATATTAAGTGATAGCAATTTGAATATAAATATTTCAGCCACAATCCTTATCCTTGATTTTTGACTGGTCAATCTCAAATTGCAACTTTAGGAATGTTTCATAATCTGGGTCCCCAGGTGTGTAAGCCTTACTTATTTCGTCTTTCTTCGATATTAATAATAAACCCTTGCACAGCATCCTTGACTCTTGCTTGCACAAGGTTCTCCAAAAACTTGCGGTCATTGTGTTGGTCCCACTCAACTTTCAAGCGGTCCCGTTCATTTGACTTAATAGAGGCCAAAATAGCATGATACTTCTGATGACTGCGTCGGATTCTTTCCAGTTGATGCTCAGCCCCTTGGTCTTTGGGAGGCTTGGCTCTCTGAAAACAAAAGCTACTATCACTTATGGTAAACCAAAAATTAATCACATATTTTCAGTTATGACCTCCATCAATATTCATACTAAATAAAATTGGGTATAAAAAACTAATACATCCTGCTACGACTGAAAACAGCTTAAGCACCTAAGGAGTAACTTGCTTGATTCTCTGAGCCTATACCTAAGATGTTACCAGATCAGTCTCAAATATTTCAGAAGTGCCTTTTGAGTTGATGGAATTATAAAGTTAAAAATGTGACCAGGACTCTAAAGATTATCCAGTCAAACTCAGAGACATTAAGTGATTTGCCTGAGGTGCTTCAAATAGGGCAGACCTAGACAGACAAGAATTAGAGGTCTTCTAATTCCTGACATTGATCTTGCCACCCATATTCCACATTGTTTCAAAGGTGCACATCATAGTTACCACCATCAAAATATTTTCAATGAGAAGTATGTAAGTATGTAGGATATATACACACCCATAGAGACACATAAATACATTTTCTATAGCTGTGACAATGAAAAATCCTACTAAGGAAGAAGAATGAAACAAAAGAAGGGAGGGAAGGAGGAAGGAGAAAAAGGAGGGGAAAAAAAAAGGAAAAATGCTGGTGGTATAACTTCATTCCTATTTCTGTGGTGCCCTGAAGTTTTAATGCAAGGACTGTGCTCCTGACACTTTGGGGTAACTTGGAATTTCTGTGAATGTATTATATTTATAGAAATGGCCTCCAAAAAGTTGGAAATGCATGCAACATTTTGTATATATATTGATATACTTAATGAAATCACATAGACTATATCTCTTTCATTTCTATATTTCTAGCATTGAGCATAATGCATACAATAGTCAGCTTATCTACATGAATGAATGAATGAATGAATGAAACAATGTTTCTGAGTGGGCCTGATGTAATTTCTACACCTTCTGGAGCCACCAGGAAAGCCATAGTCTTGAGTTTTGTATTTTCAGCAAGTTTTTATCAAGTCATCCTTAGGTGGGTAGTAAGACACTGGGGTGCTGATTCATAGCAACAAAACTCTTGACTCACAAGGCAGAGAGAGAATGTCAATCTGATAGCTCACATGTAGAATATTACCGTCAGGGTTACCAGAACATTAGGGTTGGGTGTTTGTAATGAAGTCTCCTGGGGAAAGAAAAATCAGCATTTGAAGATAGTTTGACGAAAAGATTCAGGGCTCAGGATACGCATATAAGTACCAAGATAAGGCAGGCCCTGAGGTGGGGAGGAGACAAGATGATGTTGGGGGTTATAGCATGTGAAGTAGCTAATCCATATAGGAATTATTTGGAGCCTAGAGCCAGATAATTAAACTATTGTTCTTTAATATTTTTGGCATTTTATGAATGCAGATTCTGTGAATGAAGGAGAGCAGGGTGACGGCTGCATCTTGGGCAGGATACACAGCAGGAGTTCAGGCTCCCAGCAGATACATGGGCTGCGAACAGGAACCAAGCATCAAGGTCACATGCAAACACTGTCTCCAGTCGGCAGGACAGGAACCAGGCTCTGTACATTTTGGCTGAAGAGGAGAATAGAGGTGAGGGGTTGGGAGAAACAACATGAGCAGTAGCCAGGGCACAGGAAGCCCTCTGAGGCTTGAGGCATCCTGTGCAGGAGTCTTTGGTCTGGGAAGGACTCAGTCTCTGGATGAGTAAGGTATGACCTGGAGTTCTCTAACAAGGTGGATGCCAAGCCAGGAACAGTCTTGGCATTGCTCAAAACCCACACCATTTAATAGAAATATAATGCAAAACACATACGTAATTTTCTACTTTCAAGTAGTTGCATTTTAAAAAGAAGAAACAGGGGAAATTAATTTTGATAATTCATTTTATTTAACCAATATATCCAAAATATTATCATTTCAACATATGACTTTAGGCACATTTCAAGTGCTCAAATGCTATATGTGGTTAGTGGCTACTACTGGACATCACGGCTGTAAACCATGCTAACGGCAGGAGAACACACTACTTTGTGTCTTCAAGGTCACTAAAGGCTTTTGTTGCTGTAGCGTCTCAAATTACAGTTATTAGGATTGCAATTTACAATGCCTTACATCCTAGGATTGAGTCTGGCCTCTACTCATTACTGTATTGAGCAAGTTATTTAATCTCTTTGAGTGTCAGTTTTCTCACCTGTTAAATGAACAAAATAATTCTCACCTGTTGGGTTCGTAGGAGGCACTCGTTAAATAGATTCTTCTTTTACTGCCCTATTACTTCAGACACTACATATGCTATCGCTTTTTCTGAGGGAATTGTTTAGGGTCCAAGTCTCATCTCTTGGTGGTTTTAATTCTTCCAACACCACTCTGCTACCTCTAACATCTACACTTACCACACTCAGACACCTGAGAAGGAGCAGATGCACCAACTCTGACCTCTTCCTTTTCCTCTTAATTCTTTTACAGGTGCAAAGTGGTCAAAAGGCCTGCTTCTCTGGTTTGGTGGTGACATTTTTATTTTTTCCTGTTCCTCTTTGGTTCCCAGCACAAGTAACAGCACCCAAGAAATGGCCCAGCCCCTGAGCCCTTTGTTTGAATACAGAACCCAAAGTAAAGCAGTTTCTTTCTTTCATGGAGTCTGTTTATAATTGTCACCTTGAACTCTACAGACTATAGAAGACACCAGTCTACTACTTCCCAGCTCCAGTTCCTACAGTATTCAGATTTAGAGAAAGAGCAGGTCTATAATAGGTTGACTAAAACTTGCTATGTGCACTGTGGGGAATAATAAAACTGTATTCTTGATTATTTCTGATCTTTCTTCCATAAACTGACATCACAGAAAATATAGGACATCATTATCTGCTGTGTTAACCATAATGGTTTTACGCATGAGCAAGTTGTTTCTGCAATTAGGTTACAGTTTGAGCATCCTTAATCCGAAAATCTGAAATCCTCCAAAATCTGAAACTTTTTGAGTGACAACATGACAACACAAGTGGAAAATTTTACACCTGACCTCACGTGTCTGGACACAGTCAAAATGCAGGCACACAACACAGTTTATTCAGCATCTCCAAGGGAAAAATAAAATTACCTTCAAGCTATGTGTATAAGTGTGTATGTAACATAAATGAATTTTGTGTTTAGACTTGGGTCCCCTCCCCAGGATATTTCATTATATATATGCAATATTCCAAAATCTGAAATATGAGACCCTTCTGGTCTGAAGCATTTCCGATATGGGATACTCAACCTGAATAAGCTCCCTGGATGCAGGGGTCAGGTTTCAATGAAGGGTACACCTCCCAGGGTCATTGTATACACCCCTGTATCTCCCACAGTGCTGTGCACACAGCAGGGGCTCAAATGATAACTCTGCAATCACCTAATTGCACGGGGCAGGTTTTCCTCCCTGCAGAAGCAAAGGGACCTAGGTGCATAGACCAATAGTGACCAATAGTGACCAGAGTTCTCAGCAGGACCCATCAAATTCTATAGCAAGCAGCATCCCCCTAGCCTAAATTTGAACTTTAAAAATCCCATCTGAAGATAAAAATCTACCACCTCCTACCATCCCAGCCTTAGAGGCAACCACCCTGCATTTTTCCAGGCACGCAGCGTCACTGTCCAGCAATCGTTACTGGTTGAGTTGGAGCAGGAAGGCTCCATAACTCCTCACAACTCCTCACAGCCTAATTCCCCTTCCACAGATGGTTTTCCTAGGAGTGAAAGGGGAGCCCAAAATCACACAGCTGAATCATGGCCAGCCCTGCCCCCAGATCTGTTTCTGGGCCCAGTGCCCTTTCCATGACACACACTCCCCACTATAAGGGGACAGACCTCCTTCGAGGGTCCCAGAGACTCAAAACCCCCAAGATCCCAGTGGTGATCCTCCAAATACAGATCCTAAATATTGTAACTGGGGGAGCAGGGGGAACGATTGGGCTCAGCCTGGCCCAGAGTGCGGGTAGAGAGAGCTGTAGATCCACCACCCCCACCCCGCCACCACATCCTATGCTTACCACGAGCACCACTTTGGGAGTGGGGCCCTTAACTTCCCGCTGTACGGCGCCAAACCTCTGGCTGTACATTTGCGAGTCCCCTCGGGATGGGGGCGGCGTTAGCCGCGCTTCCCCAACCGCGGCCACCTGCGGGACCCGCTTCGGCGACGCAGAGGTCTGGTTGCCATGGTGCACCTCGCGGGGTGAGGGGCAGGTAGAGGTGGGTGGGTCGGGCGGAAGTCGGTCCCGTCACCATGGGGGCCACAGACGCCTGCACTCGCGACTTCCTGCTCCTGCAGAGGAGTGGAGTCTGCGCGGTTCTCACCCCGCCCCTGGCCGAAGCCCGCCGACCTCGCGCCCTTGCTCTAGGTTCATCAGAATGGAAGAAAAAACCTCTGCCCCGAAGAGAAGTCGAAAGTCTAATTATAATTCCAATTGACTTTGCTATTTATATCCTGTAATCGGTCTAAAAGCATGAGAAAAGTTAGTGGACATTTTGTGGGGAGGTCAAATTTTGTACCATCTCTAGGTTAATCTTAGCGATGACAGTAATCATCACAGGACCACCTATTTGTGTAGCTCTTTAAAATCTGCAAGGTATTTTCACACATACAACCTCCCAGCCTCCCAAATACCTTATGGGTTGATGGAACAGCAGGTATCATTCTCATCTTACAACTAAGATAGTTAAGGCTCAGGGAGCCTAAGCGCCTTGTCAAACCACTCAACCAATAATAATAAATTATTAATAAAATCTTCCTACTGCAATGGGTAGAAACCAGGGCTTAGACTCAGGATATCCTAGGATGGGAGCAGATCAAATGGGCTGGTGAGGCAGTGACACGGCCTGGCTGTGCACAATAAAGACCAAGAGTCTGAGTCGAGGGTCACAGTGGACCAGTGTCAGGATGTGGATCAGAAGTCCAGGCTAATTGGTTCCTGACAGTCAGGATTTCAGGCAGATCAGGGACTCTAGAACACACAGGTGGAAACTAAAATTGTATTTCCAGTCAAGAGCAAGATGGCAGTTAATACCTAAAAGCCAATTAAGAATGATACTTTGGTACTCCATTGCTGAAGTGGGGGCGAGCATAGCACACAGAAAAAAATCAATACCTACGTCAGATACTGATGTATAACAACCAAAGTACAACTAATGTGTATGCCCTCTTAAGGACGCAATTTACTGTAAATTAGCATTCCTTAATCATTTTGCAATCCTCCCACTTCGGATTTTGTATGTGGTAAGTCTCTAGGTTTGAATTCCATTTCCTGAATTGCTGGTTCAGCTTTTCAGCCACAAAATAATGTCTGTCTTCTCTCTTAATAATCTCTTTTAATAATTCTCATTTTGTCTTTTTTTTTTCCTCCTATAATGACTCTTCTTTCAACTGCAGTTCGGTAAAATGCTCATTTTCATTTACTGCTAAGAGTTTACATAGCCTGAAACAAAAAAGAAAGAAATTAGGTGTCGTCTCGGTTCCCTGGATGGTGTCTCGAGCGGCGGTTCCTTGATCTTGAGTCTCCCAGGCGCCTGGCCCTCGGGTTGGTCTGGGGGGAACCACCCCCACCCCAAACACAAAGCCTTCGGGGAGGACAGCAATGAGAACTCCCTCGGCCCGGAGCAGAGTTCGGGAAGAGCCGCTGTGACTCGGGGCCGCTCATCAGGTACCCCCGAGATCGCGCAGCCCGGAGGGTCCTGTTGGGATGAGTTCTCGGAGGCGAAGACCGACTCCGCAGCCCCCGGACTTGACAGCTCGTCATGCCGCACCCTCACCCCGGGCAAGCTCCGTAATTTAACGCCGGTACGGTTTCGCGTGTCTTACCACCATTTGAAGAGGGGCAGTGGGCTTCCCTCTGGCTCAGCCTAGGTACGGTGCTTGCGCAGGGCGCAGGCCACGCCGCAAGGCAGCCAAGACACGGGTGGGGGGAGTGTCTCCAGGGCCCGCTGGGCTGGCCGCGGCCGGGAACGGCGGACTCTCGCCCCGGCGCCCCCTGGCGGACCGTCCGGAGATTGAAGGAACCCGGCCCGGGGCTAAGCACAGCAAGCCAAGCCGCAGCCTTCAGCCAACCCTCCTGGGAAGCCTAACATAAGTGATTCCCCCGAAGGTCTTTGGACAGAAGAGACCTCGATCTTGCCACCCTCTATCCCAGTTTCTCAGAGGCAGGTAAGTGTTACCACCAAGACGCTCCCAAAAGAAACACTAAGCATATAAATCAGTAAATGGGACAATAAAAATCATTTAAAAATAACTTTAAAATAGAACAGCTTAGAGATAGAAACTAAAGTATTTCCAATTCCTGTTGTGCCCCAAACAAGGTTCACACAAGGGTTGTCCTCCTGATAGTTTCCTGAATTCTATATTTTCAGCATTAAATTCCATGATAAAGTTGGAAATCCATTCATTTGTAATACATACTGATGCATTTAATAAAATCGCATGGACCGTATCTTTTTCATTTCTGTATCCCAGTATTAAGTACAAGTGCCTACCATGCGCCAGGTTCTCAATACTTGAATGAATGACACAAAAATAGCCAAGACCAGCAAGTTTTTTCTGGGTGGGCTTGACGGAATTTCTGTACTTGCTGGGATCACCATGAAATCCATGGTCTTCAGCTTTGCATTTTCGGCAATGTAGTTTTATCGAGTTATCCTCAGGTGACTAGAGAGACCCTTTGGGGGCTGATCCATGGCAAGGTAGCTTTGTAATGTGTCACCATGGCTAGGCTATACTTCCCAGAACTCCCTTCCCTGTATGCTTCCAGTTAAGACGGGCCACAGAGACAATGTGCCTGATAATTGGTGGGCAGAAGTGAAGCAGCATACTCTTTTTACACTTGGAAGGCTGGTGCTGGGGCACCAGGTGCTGGGGCACCAGGTGCTGTTGCAGTTCACGCATGTTGTCATTTATCAGCTGGCTCACCTCGTTGGTGTGGGGCAGCAGTCAGGCCTGAAGCCAGGCCTACAGCTGCTCCACCTTCCCCACGATCTTCCTTCAGCTTCTCTAATTCCTGGGCAGATGCATATTTAACGCTGTGAGGAAGGGCACCAGTTTCTTCTGCAGGACACCCACATCATCGAAGCTGGAGGTGGTGAGAGACTGACATAGGTTCCAGGCCATCCTCGTGGGCTCCAGCTTGTGCTTGTGGGCTGTGCTGCGTCCTCGGTCTCCCACACTTTATATCCATCTTCCCTTCCCGACTGCCTGCCCTGCAGACTTCAAGCTCCAGCATTAGATGCAAAGATAACAGCCTTACAGAGACTGTTTAACCAGCTCCCACAATTGCATGAGGTCAAATCCCTATAATAAATCCTTTAAAATACATATATACATAATCTTTATCTTAGTGGTTCTGCTTTTGTGACTGAACCCTAATACACATGGAAAGCACATTCTTAACTCATGAGTCAAAATGCCAATCAAATTTCACTTAGAACATCATTGTCAAAATCACCAGAATACTAGGGCTGGGTGGTTGGATCGTGGGGGGAAACAAAGCAGTATCAGATTATCCAGTCTTGATTAGGGTTGAGCTAGGTAGGGTGAGGCAAAGGAAGGGGCAGAGGAGGGTGGCACAGGGCTGTATTTTATGAGTTAGAATTGGGAAATGGCTAATCCATATCTGAATTACCTAAAGCTGCAAGGGCTGGGACTAGGGTAAGGCAAGGGAGGCACACAGGGTACAAAATTTGAGGAGGCACTCACTCAGTCCTGGCCCTGTAAAGCTGGCTAAGTAACAAATTACAGGTCTAATCGTTTTGGCACTTTATGAATGAAGTTGGAGAAAGTGAGGTAGGGCTGAGCCAACACTGGCCCTCGGGCAGGACTCAAAGCAGGAATTCAGCCTCCTACTAGACATTCGGGCTGAGGGAAGGAACCAAGCACGCAGGTCATCAGAGGACAGGAGATATACGTTGTTAGGGAGGACAAGCCAGGCTGGCAGCTTTAGTCCCACAGATTGCCCTGGCTGAGGAAGCGGAGTCAGGGTAACAAGCAAAGGCGGACAGCAGGCAGTGAGGAGGGATACACCCTTGAGAGTTTGAGGAATCTGAGGCAGCATATGGGGCCTGCAGAGAACCCAGTTTCTGGACGAACAGATGTTCTTACAACAAGATGACCCTTTCCACATACAGCCTTGGCACTCCCTAAACCATGCTAGAGACAGGAGTATAAGGGATTTATTATAGTATTTATAGTAATCCATTGTGTGTTTTCAAGGTCACTGAAAACTCCTGTTACTATAATATTACACATTATTGCATACAGGATTACAGTTTACAGTTTAGTGGTTTAAAGAACATGGCCTTTACAACCTGGGTTTAATTCTAGGCTCTACTAACATTATTTGACATTGGACAAATTAATCTGAGTCTCAGTTTTCTCATCTGGAAAAATGGGCAAAATCAATGTCTTCCTAAAAAGACTGTTTTGAGGATTAAATAAATGGGGTCCATAGGAGGAACACACCAAATAGCAGTTCCTTTCCTTTCCTCAATTTTTCACATTACATTTGCAATTGCTGTCTCCCTGAGGAAATGTTTAGAGACACTACCAGGTCTCATCCAGAAGCCACTTAAATTATTTATACAGATGGCCCATTTAGGTTGTTTTGTTGTGGCTTTAATTATATTCCCTTTCCCCACCCCAGCTCCCCCACCCGTAATATCCAACTTATTATCACACTCAGGCTCTTGGGGAGGAGCAGATAGATGCACCAACTTTCTACTCTTTCTGTCTTTCTTTCCCGCGCTTACTTCTTCTATAAGCTCAAAGTACTGTTAGGCCTGTTCCTCTGGTTTGGTGGTAGGTTTTTCCTCCTAGGGTTGATTCACACACAAGCCCTGGCAACCAATCTAGGGTCCAGCCCCCAGTAGATCAGTGTTGTCTCTCAAAAAGCCGGTCTGCAAATATCACCTTGAATCCTACAGTCTGCAGAAGCCTCCAGTCTACTGCTTTCTAGCTCCAGGTTTTTTAAGGTCCTTGGACCTAGAGAAGAGGGAGCAGGTCTGTATGTTGAATGAGGTTTGCTACGTGCAAAATGGAGCATCACAAAACCATTTCCTACTATTCTGTGTCCGCCATCCCATTTCCCCTTAATTATCCTTTATCTCTTCTCTGTCTCCTAGAAACTATCATTATAGAGAGCATAGCACCTTCTCTGTTAACACATATGCGTGCACAGTTACATAATAAGCTAAGGGTAGGGATCCTGTGTCTCCTGAAGGGTAAGCCTTCCAGGGCTCATTGTACTCACTGCTGGGTCTCCCAGACTGCTGTCCACCCAGCAGGAGCTCAATCAGTACCTGTGTAATCACCTAGGTACAGATGGAAGGGTTTCTGGCCTGTTGGAATTGATTTGCAGGAGCAAAGGACTCCAGGTGCTTAGGCCAATAGTTTACATTGCCAGCTGTGGGGCTGTGTGCAGGGCCTGTCAACATTCTGCACAGCAGCTCAAACAGTTAATAACCTCAACAGGCTCAAGAAAGGCTCAAGAGACCCAGCCCAAGCCCTTCCATGGAGGCTGCTCCAGGAAGTGCAGGATGAGCTGGAGATCACACAGCTAGCTGGGTATGGACCCAGCTTAGCATCAGCTCAGGACCCAGATCTCCTGCCCACCCCACTGCCAGGCAAGACCCACAACCATTTCTGGGACATATACTCCCCACTGTCCGGGAGCACCCACCAAGTGGTCTCCAAGAGACTCCAAAAGCCTTCAAGACTCCAAATGATGGTTCTCTGAATAAGAACTTACATATCAAGGAAAACCCCCATAGAGTTTACTCAGGGGGATAGGCACCAGACTTTCCTTATCTTTTTTATCATTCAAATTTCCTCACAGGGCATCAAGGCCTCCTCCCTCTCCCAAAGGAGAGGCCTAACCTGCAACACTATTGGGTGGGTCTCAAGGGAAATTTCTAGAGTCCTGCACACATGCCCCTCATGGACTGTGGTCAGCACAGTGGATGTGAAGCCTTTACCTCCCACTGCACTACACCAAATTGCTGACCGTATTTTCAAAACTCAGAGCCCCCATCTGACTGGCACCCACCCCATCCCCACCCCTCACTGTGTGGGGCACACCTTGGCAACCAGACTGCTGTGTCTCGGAAGCGGGTTCCACCCAGGCTGAAAATCTCCGTGATCTAGGGAAGAATTAACATCATAGGTCAACATGCCCAATGGGGCTAAGGCAGGGTCAGGGCAGGGTGGGGCATCCCCAGCACTGACCACAGGTGTGCCAGCCCCTCCTGCCTCCTCCTCTGGGGCTGATTTGGAGGCAGAGTCATCCTTGTTCTCCTCTGTCTTGTCCTCCTCAGGGTCAGGTGGTTCTTGCTTCACAGGTGGCAGGCCTGGGTCTACTGCCTGGGAGAAGTGGGGAATAGGCAGCAGTTAGAAGGGCAGGCCTGAGGAAAGTCTCCATCAGCACAAACCATCACTGTGCTGACAAATTCCACTTCCACTACAGTTCAGCACAGAAATGCCATCTCCCTACCTACAAACCTTTCCCATTGCTCACTGATCTCTGTTTTTCTGTTAGCTGGGCAGCAAAGTAGGCAAAGCTAGTTGCCTATGGAAGTAGGGTGTCTGTTAGACAGATGGGGTAATTCTGCAGAAAGGCTGCAATCAGCACATCTTCACTCTGCTCAAAGAACCACCATCATGGCTCACCATGACTCTGCTTAGAGACCACCCTTTTATGGCACCAACAGAATGTCCATCACTGCCCCTACCTTGCTAGGGCAGCCAGGCACCAATACAGGAGAAGTCAGGATGGCTGTGCCGGGTGTCCACTCTTCCTGGGCATCCGCCTTCTCTTGCTTCACCTGGGGTAAGGCCACAACCCAACTCAGGCCAGAGCACTGGGCCTCCTGCATGAGGGACGATTGCAGCAGACTTGGTCTCAGCTCCCTGGCATGAGGCTAGATAGGGCTGGAAGTGCAGAGTAAGAAGGGGCCCTCACCTGCAACAGGGCCTCTGTGGAAGCTGCAGCAGGGCCTGGCACCTGCACGGGACTGCTTGCACCCTCCCGTAAAAACACAAGGTCGGTGCCAGGCGGAGGCAGCACAAAGCCACCACCTGCTTCTTGTTTCATTGGAGCCTGGGCACGGCCTGGTTTGGCTGTGCGTGTAGCCAAGGGGTTCTTCAGAGTGGGGCCCAGGCGGGGCCTTCGAGCAGAGCTGGTCCTCTTTCGACGACGGTAAGGTGGGGGCGATCCTGCCCCATCTTCAGACTCTGACCAGACACTTGGCAGCAGCCGCTTCTGAGGAAAGATGGAGTGCTATGGCCACCTGGTGCCATTACCAAACACATCCACCCTGCCCTGCTCAACATGCCTGCTAATCTCCCATTAGTCCCATCACAGAATCTGCTTACACATGAGCCCTTTGTCATTGAGACTGCTAGCCTCCCATTAGCAATGCCAGTGCCACCTAGACTCGTTTCCCCAGCACAATGTTTGCTAATCCTCATCCAAAGCCATAGCCCCGCCCACCCACCTACCAGGCCTGCCCACCATTCCCAGGTACTGGGGCATGTGGCCCCACCTATCCCGTCCACCTGACCCTTCCTGCCCCACCCACCATGGCAAACTGCAGGCATTGGCGCCAACGACACTTCTGGCGCTTCTGGTTGCTGCCCCCGAATTTGGGCTTGTCGCAGCAGAAGTCGCAGCGGCCACAGTCCATCCGCCGTAGGCAGGCTGCACAGGCCCCGCACTTGCGGTTCTGCCGGCGGTTCGTGTAGGGCTGCTGGGGTGGGGGGAATGGGTGGTGCTGTCACTAGGACTAGGAGAGGCCATCCTCAATGGCTATTCCAGTGCTGGTCCTGGTGCTCCTCTAGCCCCATCGGAGGGCACTACTTGCGTACTAGTCTTAGCCTCTTGACTCCCCACTAGTCACACATCACCGTTTGCTAGTGCAACACTGGCCGCTATCACTGTGCCAGCTTGCCCTCGGTACCGTTAGGACTGTGGCTGCTCCATCCCAGGATCCATCGCTGTATTTGCTAGTACTCCACTAGCTACCAAAAAATTTCTCTGACCTCACCTCCAGCAGGATTTTGCTGGCCCTCTATTACCTCCCATCACTGTGCCTGCTCTGTCTGTTCATTCTACGTGAAACCCAGTCACTGTACAGGCCGCTCCTCTATCAGCCCCATCACTGTGTCTGCTAGTCCTGCGTTAGCCACCAGAGTGCTGGTGCATCTGATGTGGCACTGTCACTGCACCTGCTGAGCCATGTTAGTCCTCCCCCCTCGTCCGCTCATCCCATCCTAGGACCCATTACTGTGCCTTGCTGTTCCCCAGTAGGCCCATCACAGCATCTGCTTCTTTGGAGTTAATCAAGCGTCCCGGGAGAGTCTAGGCTTATCCAGGTAGGGCGGGGCCACTCACTAGCTCGTCCTCCTCTACACAGTAATAGATGAACTCGGCAGGTGGCGAGGGGGCCAGGGTTCTGGGGTGCTGTAGAGGCAAATGGCGTGGGGTCAGGGCAGGTACTTGGTAAGGTTACGGGTGTGCCTCCCCCCACCCACTGGGGCCTCACCAGCTCTGTGGGCTCTGGGGGTTGTGATGGGGGAGGTGGAGGCAGTGGCTGGGCTCGGGATTGCCGCCTGGCAGCCTTCTTGGAGTCACAGCGCCCCCTGCGGCGGCCATGTTTACCCTGGGAGAGTAAAAAGAGTGGTTTGGGTTTCGTGGCACCAGGCAGAGACAGGACATCCCAAGATTACAGAAAGCGTGCATGGGACAGGTAGGTGGAGGGTGGAGTGGAGCGGGGGGAGCCACAGCCAGGGGAGGGCAACGTTGACATCACTGATAGTGGCAACGGAGACGGTCAGAAAGATGCTGACAGACAGGGGCAGGGAGGTGAGGCCAGAGAGGTAAGCATGAGGTAAGGAAGAAAAGAAAGACATGAGGTGGGCAAGGCCAGGCTGGGAGGAAGCAGCAGCAGCAAAAACTTTTAACAGCAGAATGAGCCCTGCCCCCTCCGGCCTGACTTACCCATAGGCACCGTCGCTGGACACACTTCCACTGACGCCTGAGCCCAGGGCGGGGAGGGCGTAGGCAGATACGGCAACGGCCACAGTCCTCTTGGGTCTGACAGCCCCGGCATACTCCACACCCTCGGCTCTGTGTGCGTGTGTGGGGAGGGCCAGAGGCATGATGCATGAGGCCAGGGCCATGAGGACCAGTGGCTGGGGTGAGCCTTGGGCCCTCCCCACCTGCCCGACTCACCCTTTCCACGATCCGGAGACAGCGTCTCCGCTCACACTTGCAGAACAGCCCCGAGGCCACATCATGGGGCAGCTGCAGGAGGCAGGTGGAGCAGGCCCCACAGTCTTCCGTTACCTGGCATGCTGCACACTCCCCACAGCCCACACGCTGCCAAGAATTGGAGGGACAAGGTCACAGGCCAGGCAGAGTGGCTCCAGAAGCACTGCCCCACCTGTGTCTACTGATCCTACGTTAGCTCCTATCACCACGTCTTCTAGTCCCCCGTTAGCCTCATCGCTTTATCTGATAATTACTGGTTAGCTGCCATCAATGAGGCCATCAGTATGTCTACTGGTCCCCTGTTAGCTTCATCACTGTCTACCGGCACCCCATTAATTCCCATTACTGTGTCTGCCAATCCACACTAGCTCTCTATAAAATGACTCTTACACCCTATGGCCCCATCACCATTTCTTCAGACCCTCTACTGGCCTCATCATGTCCTGCTCCCATTGCAGAGCTGTAAAGAGGATGCAGCTTGTGCTTACCTTAAACATCCTCTGCTCCCGGTTGAAGGCAATTCTCTGTGCTGGCGGGGAGGGAGAGGGAAAGAGCAAGTAAAAAGGAAGCAACAGACGCCTAACCTCACCACTGCCTCTGGCCTGACTTCCACCATTCAACCTCTACTCATGTCCAATACTTCCAAAATCCAACCTCCAACTATGTCAGTCACCTCTGTCCTGACTCACCTCGGCAGTCCTTGCACAATGTCTTGAGCCGTTGCCTTCTGGTACCATCCCCTGAGAAGCTGATTCCACAATTCTCACAGCACCTGGGATGGGAAAGACAGGTGTGGGGCCCTAAGAGCACCCCCGATCACAACCTTCACCCATTTGGCCCACCTTAGGCCAACACTCACCCAGGTGCAGGGAATGAAGCTGGGGCTGGGGCTGGGGCTGGGGCTGTGTCAGTGTCAGCCTTGGTCTCATCCCGTGGGGCCTCCTTCCTGACCTCATTCTTCTGGGGTCCAACCTGATGTTTCTTAGTCTTGGCTGGCTTTGAAGGTTTCTTTCGCTTTTTGCTAGGGATGGCCACCGAATGGCCCTGGAGATGAGAGTTAAGACAGGAGGAATGTGGGTCAGTGGGTGCGCGTTAGGAAGCACAGCCACCCCTGACTGGGCTCCCCCACACTGTGAAGTACCTTGGGGACTGGATGGCACAAGATGCCTTGTTTGAAGTCGAAGAGAGTAAGATCACATGTAGGGCCCAGGTATCGGGTCAGCTCAACTTTGCTTCGGATCCTGTCTCCTGTGGGGCTGGGGATGGACCAGGACAGGTAGAGCCAATGCCATTCCACCCACACAACCCTTCCACAGGGCTGGTGGGATATAGGAGGCAGCCTGGAATTGGCCTGTGAGCCCCGCCCCACCCCAACCAGCCCTGAATAACAGGAGTATAAAATACAAATGCCAGCATGTATACAAATATTAATAAACCATATAAACGTAAATAGACATGAACATTTATAACATCATACTTGTGATACTGGAAATACTTTCTATAAGTAAAAATAAACACAAATGGGGACACAAATATATTAAATAACATGTAAGTATGTTAACATTACGTACCAAACACATAAGCAAGAAAACTTATGTTTAAAAAACATAAACAAATGCAACTGCGTACATAATAGAGTATAAGTAAATGATGTTGGGAGACAATACTCCATGGGTCTCTCACATGTCCTGACTGTCCTTTGTAAAAAAAAAAAACTATTTTTCCAAGGATGTTTGTAAAGCAAACAACCTTGGAAGATAAGAGATGGAGTCTCCTTCCAGAATAACGAGAAAGCATACTTACTGTCCTAATATTATAAAAGATTTGATCCCCTAAGCTCAGGGTTCCATTCCTATGATACAGTTCACTGTGTGTGCAGGTGCTGTTTAGCCCTCTTCATGTTACATGGGAATTGGGATTCGAGGAACTGGCACAAAAATGATGATATAGTCCCCCTTTATCTGCAGGGGATACATTCCAAGATGCACAGTGGAGGCCTGAAACCATGGATAGTATATACCCTATATGGTAGATACAGTGTTTTTTCGATCTGATTACCGAGATGGCTACTAAGTGACTAATGGATGGGATGCACATACAGCATGGATATGCTGGACAAAGAAATGATTCATGTCCCAGGCAAGATTGAGCCAGACAGTGCAAGATTTCATTACACTACTCAGAACGGCACGTAATTCAAAACTAATGAATTGCTTATTTCTGGAATTTTCCATTTAATATTTCAGATGGCAGTTGACTAGGTAACTGAAACTCAGGAGAGCAAAACCTCAGAAAGCAAAGCCACAGATAAGGGAGGACTACCATATTTTGGATTCTGCTGTTGTTATAATAAACTGTCTTTCATCTCTGACCCAGGAGTCTCATGTCTCCTACCAGCATCCACAAAATTGTGACAAACTCACTATTATCTTGTCCTAATTGCGGCAGAATCTCAGATCATTTACGGTTTTTTTTTTAGATTAAGGAAAGAAGAGTGCCTTTATGGTTTTTGACAATTGCACTTACAAGTTTTAAGAGTTTTACAGAAGCATGTAATGGTGAATAAATAATAACTAAATACAAAAAAATTAATTTTATTTATAACTTTACCATATTTATTGGGGAAACTGGCAACTTAGATACAAACAAAACCAGGACAAGTATCAAAAATTTAATACCTATATCATTAATGTATTCTAAAACACATGTAAATGTTTATAAACATCTATGTTAACATATTTATAGTTGATCTCCGTTGTTCACGGTAGTTATGCTCTACAAAGTTGCTGTGAACACTGACTTAGTGAATACAGAACCATTGCACCTAGGGGAAGTACAGGGTTAGGTTCCTGAGAGGCTCTGGTCACATTTTTGTCAACTGATCAATGCATAACTTTGTTTTACGTGTGTTTCAGTCTAAAGACATCTTACTTAATATATATTTCTTACAAATGATTAATTGCATGGTCTTTGATTCAAAGCCAGAGATTTCAGAGGCCATTTGTGTTATATAGGTTTGTTTGCCAATGTTCTTATAAAACAAGCCAGTCTCACTGGCGTTGAAAACCACTCTTCTATATAACCCTTTTCCTGTATAACACTTAGCAGGTATTTTTAAAATTCTTCTGCAGACTCCTGATCTGTAGAACCTAATATTTTTCATGCCGTATCGCCTTTTGAAATGTGCAAGCCAGCTAGCACTAGCTAAGTTTAATGTTTTCCTAACCCTGGGTAACATGATTTTGGCTTTCCTTATGACAATGCTGTTCACTATGCTTTATCGGTCATCATTTCACAGATCCACAAATTCAGCTGCTTTTGCATCTTATCCACAGCTTCAAGTACTATAGATGCTATTTTTTGTATTTTGTGGAACAGCCTCACGTACATACTGACAAATTTCCTTCTTCTTTTGAGGATGCAGCATGTTTTTGATTCATAGCACTGAATTTACAGCCAACAGCACTGTAACTCATGCCTGAACGAAGCTTATCTACCTTGCATTTTCTCCTTAACACACATCACAGCCTTCTTGCACTCAGAACACTAAACAACACTTCAGCACTATGCTTGGGGATCATCTTAAACAGCAAAATCACCAACAAAAAGCACAAAAATGCAAAAAACGTGATACTACATAGACCACAAAAAGAACACCTGTTAATAGTATGAAACTTGAAACAAAAAGGCCTTATTCGACCTGGGCTTAGAACATGTGCACTTTTCGCTGCTCTGTGCATGTTCTGGAATAACCACGAATGCACTATCAGTACTGACTTCGAAGTTACAAATAAATTTTATTAAGTAGGTGAATTTGTAAATACAAAATCTGAGAATAATGAGGATTAACTGTACGTGCATAATTTTAACTCCATCCACAAATTTAACCACACTATTCGATTTCACCCTGTCCCTGACCAGGCTCAGCCCCACCCGACTCTGCCCACAACCCACCCAGTACCTCTGGTAATATGTGTCTGAGCGCCCGCAGGTGGCCCCTGACTTGCGAAAGACCTCACGGCGCTTCCAGCCAGGGCCCAGGGCTGGGCAGTCCAGCCAGTCCTCAGCCATGGAGGCCACAGGAAGTAGCAGTAGCCTGCAAAGGTGGTAGAAGAGGATGCATGGGGGAAACTGAGGCTCTAGGAAGGGACAAACTGCCCCAGGCCACACAAATCACTGGTGTCTTTTACTGCTTGCCCAAGACCTAGGACCTGCCACAGGCAACCAGCCCATATATAGAAGAGAAACCCCTCGCATTCCAACCCCATTCTTTCCTGTTCTGGGCCCAGGAGCTTCTCATTCCTCCCCCTTCTTAACCTGGTAACCTCCACAGCTCCCATCTTCAACTTAAGGGTCCATGTTTCTTATTCTCAGTATCCTGACCCCTTAAATCCTCCCCATCTTCAGATTAAGAGCCCATCATTTCACTGTACTGCCAACCCAGGAACCTTTCATTTTTCCCCCTCATTCCTCCGTCTTTGACCTACAGATCCCTATCCCTCCCCTTTATCGCCCTAAGACCCCCATACTCCCCATCCTCAGTCCAAGAGGCCATCATTCCTCTTGCCCTCAGTATTCTACTTCAGTGTTCTTACCTCCCACTCCTCCCCTTCCTTGACCCACAACTTCCCAATTTCTTTCCTTTAGTCTTTTAACCATTCCATTCCTTCCCTGTCTGATGTCCTCTTATTCTACTACTTCAGTGTTACAGCCTCAACTTCCTCTGTGTGAGAGACCCCAACCCTTCCACCTCCTTGGCCTGAGCAGCCCCTCATTCTTTCCATTCCTCAGCTAGTAGCCTCCCATGGCTCCCCCTTCCCCAGCCCAAGAGTTCCCCCACTTATTTCCCTCTTCCCTCAATGTTCTGACCTACAATTTCTCCCCAATCTCAAACCCAAAACCTCCCTATTCCTCTCCTCTACAGCCAAAAAGTTCCCCACTCCTCCTCTTCAACATTCTCAATCTACATTCTTCCTAATCAGCCTGAGAGACCCTGATTTCTCCCCTTAGCATTCTGAACTCCCCCTATTCTTCTCCGTTATCTCAGGATCATGCCATCCCTAACTGTCAGCGTTCTGATGTCCTATTTCTCCTCATCCTCTATATGAACACAACCCCCGTCACTCCCTCTCAGCATTCCAACGCCCCCATTTCTCTGTCATCAGTCTGAGGGACCCTCATTTCTCTCTCTCAGAGTTCTGAATCCCCGTTTCTCTCTCCTTAACTTCAGAGGCCCCGATGTCTCCCCTCAGCGTTCCGAGCTCTCCTTCCTCTCCGTCTTCGTCCCAGGATCCCGACACTCCTACCTGTCAGCGTTCTAAGCCCCATTCCTTCCCGTCTTTCGCCTAAATCCCCCTATTCTTCCCTTTCAATATTCCGAAGCCGCCATTCCTCTCCCTCATCGGCCCGAGGGCCCTTCATTCCTCCCCGTCAGCGTTCTGAGCCTCAATTCCTCCCCATCCTACGCCTGAGTGCTCTCCCCTTCCAGGCCCACGGCTGTCTCACCAGCTCGGCACCAGGCCGGCAGCTTCCGCCTTTCTAGGCCCGTGGATTCATGGCGAGGGTCCCTTCTGTGCCTCCCGCCTTGCCCTACTCCTCTTCTTCCTCCTCCTCTGCCGCCTCCTCTGAAGCGGTAGCTGTCGCCTCCGCGGCTGTTCGTTGCTCCCGGAACCGGAAATCCACTGCCTGCCTCCCGGGCTCCGCCCCCGACGAAACACCTGCGCGCTAGCGCCTCGACGGCGCGCGCCCTTAGCGGGGAGGCTCTTGCGCCTGCGTGCTAACGTTCCACACCAGAGCGCGCCCACGGCCGGGACCCGCAGCGCCTGCGCTCCCCGCTTCCCCAGACGCGCGTCCTCCCATGCTGCCTAGTTTGCACATGCGCTCTCCAGTCCCACGCTAAAGGGGCGTGGACGTTAGGGGTTGAGCCTGCGCTCTCCGTTCCCTCTGGCCGTATCCAGGAGTAACCCACAGGGGCGTCGCACGGCTGGGGTTGCGCCTGCGCACTCTCTCGTCCAGCCGGGACCCTCCTCTCCCACCTCGTGCCGAGGTCGCGTCTGTGCTCGCTGGTCACTGCGAACATCTCCCCCAAGTCTATTGTGTCCCGCGCTCTCCTCCCCGCCGAACAGGTGGCGCGCGGAGACGAGTTTTCGCCGCGCGGACCCCGGTTGAACCCGAGGACACGGAGAAGGGGGCGGGGCCGCGCCGCAGGTAAACAGAGGGCACCCAGTGAGGGCGTGTCCGCGCTGCACAGGACTGCAGAACTGGAGTGGGCTCCCGTTGTATACGTGTCCCACGAGAGGGGTTTGCGGGAAAGGGGGGGGGGGCCTTGTGTCCATCGCTGAATACAACTCTGGTCTGGAGAGCATGAACACTCACACAGCAGCGGGAAGTCAGCCACACAGGGCGAGTGCTGAGTGCATACCCACTGTCCCAGGAAGAGAGGCTGAGAATACAGGACACTGGACGTCAGGTCATATCCCCACAGCCTAAGGGAGCACAGAGTGAGTGCTGACTATATACTCACAGCCTGTGCATGCACTGCAGCCCCTTCGGGGTACAGGTGTGCCACCGCCCATCTTATCCAGGGGGGTTTGGGAACACAGTTGCAACTGGAGCAAGCGTAGAGACCATCAGAAGTTATCGTCCTTTCTTCTTCAAAATTTTATTAACAAAATCCAGGGAGGAGGGAGTAGACTCCACAGTCCCACCCCGGCACAGAAAATGGAGAAACAGAGGGAAATTTTGAGACTCTCTGGTAAGAGTAGATGGCCAGTCAAATGGTGGATGGGCACAGAGAGAATTAAAGAACATGAACAGATGAAGAAGGAACAGACACACGGGAGGCTCAGGGCAGCTTCCCCAACTGGAATGCAGGGTGTGGGGGTGATGTGGGCCGGTGAGGCTCAGCGGTCAGCACTGGAGCGCAGGTCGGTAGTGAGTGGGTCATGCTGGATTGTCTGGTGCAGCATCAGGGCCAGTAATCCTGCCCGGTTTGTCATGGCTGTACGCACATTGCGCTCCTGCTCAAACAGCTCATCCAGCTTGTACCACTGCCAAAGGAGTGGATGGCGCCATGAGAAGGGGCTCCTGAAGCCCCACCTGACTGACCCTGGCTACATCCAGCATCAAAACCTACCACACGCACGCGCTCCAAGTCCACTTCAGCACGCCGCAACTTCTCCCAGCAGTAATGGCGATTGCACTGGCGCTTGGGCAGGCGGCAGAAGTCACCTGTAAGCTCAAAGACATCGCGTACAAGGGGGCACCCGCACACCTCATCGGCTGGCACCTGCAGGGAAACCAGGAATGAGGATGAACAAAAGTGGTGAGGGAGGAAAATAGGAATAGGTGCTCAGGGAGGGAGAAGGGAAGGAATGGAGAGTTCAGGGGACAGTGAAGAGGCATGGAAAATAGGGGGAATGGAGGGTGAACAAACAGGGAAAGGGGGAGGAATAGGAGGTGATGAGCTAGGAAAAGGGAAAAGAACAAAGGGCGAGAAAGCAGGGAAAATGAGAGAAATGGACGTGGTCAGGTAGGAAAAAGAGAAGGAGGAAGGAAAGGATGAGGAGGGACAGAGAGGAGGGACAGAGTCTGGGGAGTTGAGGAAAAACCTTACTTTGGGGTCCCGTGAGTGCTCAGGGCACAGCACCTGGAGCCGCTTACAGTATGTTTTGCTCTGAGGATTGTAGACATCACAGAAGAGTCGTGTGGCCCTGGGGGTTTGGAGTAGAGAGAGGGTAGTGGAGGGAGAGTAGGAAGGAGGCCCTCTTATCCTTGCCCATGCCCATATTCTGCCCCCGCTCCATACACACTCCACTTCTGACCCCAGCCTTAACTCCCCTAACTCTGCGTGGCACCCTCACTTACCCTTCAATGCGTGTGGGGTACATGGACCCAAAGGACGTCTGGCTCTCATACTGGAGGGATGAGCACAAATGGAGGGAACTGTGGATGTGTGCTGCACACTGGCCCAAGACACCACCCGGACAACATATCTGTCCCCCACTGGCCCACTGATATTCCCACATCGTCCACCCCCTTAGGCTGACACCCTGACCTTGGCGTAGCAGCGCTCCATGTGGCGCAAGGCAACACGTGGGTTGATGGGGTGCCCGCAGGAGACGCAGAAGATCTGCAAGTCTGTGTCATCACTGTCACCCTCGTTGCTCTGTGTGGGGTGGAAAGAGCGATGAGGCCAGGAGAGACCAGGTGCTGGGCCCTGCCTTGCCATGCCCCTGCTTGCTCACCTCCTCATCCTCACGCACAGCCTGCTGCTTGGCACGAACAATGATGGCCTCAAGTTCATGGAATCGGCGCTCCATTTCCTGAAGGCGGGTGCGGGCACTCTGCTGCTCACGACGAATGCGTTCGAGCAGCTTCTTGCCATGCTCTTCAGCAATGCAGGGGCTCTGTTGCCACTGCTGGATGCGCTGGGGGAGGATCTCATAGATGCGGCTGCAGGGAGACAGTGGGTATGGTGCAGGCAGGGAAGGTGGCAAGCAACAAGATGAGTAAGTGGGGTGATCAAAGGATGGCAAATGGATGCATGACTAAATGGTGAAAGGGTAAGTAAATAGGTGACTAGATGGCTGAATGGTGGATGGATGGCCAAGTGGACAGATGAGAGCAACATGGATGGGTGAGTGGGTAGATAGATATGTGGGTATTTGGTTGATTGAATGGTGAACAGGTGATTGACTGGCAGACATACAGAGGGCTCTGCCCTACCCTGTACTTCCTGACTCCCTTAAACCCCCAAGAGTGACTCACTTGGCTGCCAGCTTCATGCCGCAGTCATCCGAGCAATACTTGGAGCTGGGCTGGGCAGGGCGCACACAGCCAGGCCCCAGGCACTGCGGCAGCGATGCAGGGTCCTTGACATCCGCCCTCTCTGGGTGTTTCCATTTGTCCTTGTGCTTCTGCTTCTGCCGATGCCGCTTGTATCTCTCCTCCTTCTACGGGACAAGACAAGTCAGATCAAGGCGGAGTGGAAGTCAGCCCCAGACTTGTCTCCCCCTCCATTCCAGCCCTTTCTGGCTCTTGCCCTGTTTAGGCCCTGACCTCCACCTCTCCCTCTCCACCCGTCCTCTGCCTTCCCATACCCATTTTACCCTCTCCATCACCTTCTTCTCAGATTTCTTCTCTCGCCGCTTCACATGCTTCACTTTCACTGCCCTCTTCCGCAAGGCGGGATCCAGGAATGGTGACTCTTCTGTGTCACTCATCCAGGGCTGCAAGCAGGGCATGCACTGACCCACGAGCCCCACTCATGACAGCCCACCACCTTCTCATTTCCCAAATCAGCCTTCCATACCCTGCCTCCTCTCTCCTCATTAGGGATTCTCTCTGCTTCTGTAACCTCCACCCTTCCACCATGGGATACTCTTGCCTGCTCACCAAGCCATGGTCATCAAAGGCCCCTGCACAGAAGTCCTGGTACAGGTCAGGATCCAGTGGTAGGTCCTCATCAGAGAGTGGCTCAGGTGTGGCCGTAGCCTCAGGTGGCTCCTTGACTGCTGATGATGCCACTGCCCCCTCATCTTCACGAATGCGCCCCAGCTTCTGTGATGGCTGTGGCTGCTGTTGGGTGGGCAGTGGCCGGCGGGGCCTTGGCAGGGACTCTGAGGGTGTCACCGGCGAGAGCTGCGGGGCAGAATCTCAGGACTGGCCCTGACCGCCCTGCCCGCATGCCCCGCCCCGCCCTGGGGGGCTGGACTCACCGAGGAAGGGAAGTACTTGTACGATTCCTGTGCCGGCAGGAGGAAGGCCCAGGTCAGCCCCAGGTGGATGGAGGGTGGCCTTGCCCTAGCCCTGCCCACCTGGCCTTGCCTCCTCAGACACACCTGCCCCCTACCCCTCACCACCAGGACATGCTCAGCCCTGCCTGATCTGCACTGACATGCCTGATCACCCAGAAATACTTGGCCCCACCCAGGGTTGGGGGTTCTCCTGCCAGCCCAGCATACCTGGTCATGTCCCATTCATCTGGACATGCCAGGCCCCTTCCCAACCATCTGTGATAATCAGGCCCCACCGCACCTGGCCCATTCATGCCTAGCCTTAACCAGCCCTTCATGGACTGCCCCCTCCTCCTGATCCTACCCAGCTCTGCCCATGCTCACCCGGGCCCGCAGCTGGCACTGGCGTAGCCGGCACTTCTGCCGGATCTTGTTGGGGCCCCCAAATTTCTTCATGTCCCGACAGAAGTCACAGTGGCCACAGTCCTCAGTGCGCCGGCATGCCTCACACTCGCCACACATGCGGGCTGACCGTTTGATCTGCTGCTGCTGCTGGTGATGCTGAAGAAAAGTGCCCAGAAGAGAAATCAGGGACCCAGGCGAGGACCAAGATAGAACTACTTTATACATTCCAATCACTACAGCCACTCACCTGGCTGGGTGTGGCCGCCAAGGGCTGTGGAGAGGATTTATGGGGCGAAGCAGAGCCCCGAGCAAGCATGGCCCCAACCCCTGTCCCTGACCCCGCCCGGCGCTGCAGGTCCGGATCTGAGACAGGCCTCTTGCGCCCTCCACCCTCATCCCGGGGCTCACTGCTGTCCCGCTCATTGCCATCCCGCTCGCGTGATTTCTTGTGCCGATAGCGTATCTCCAACTTGGGGTCTTTCTCTGTGGGGCAGAGAATGGGGCCAAGGTAGGTGAGCAGTGGCAGGCCTAAATGGTCCCAGAACCTCTTTCTTCCTGTTTTCTCTCTTACTGTTCCACCCACCT